CATTCTCTCTCACTGTACAAGTCGTAGTTTAAAGATATCTGTTGTAAAGTAATCTCCAAACATCTCAGTACAAGAAACATCGTATATTTTGAAAAATCAGTTTCATAAATGAATGAAGAAGTTTTTTTTCGATTTTTAATTTTTTTTTTTAATTAGCATGTTTCTGGATATGAGGGAAATATGGCAATTACAAACACGAACATTGTGGTGATCGGATATAGCCTTGGAACTGTAGAGATGCCTGCTATAGTAAAATCATTTTCAATGGATACTTGTGGGAAATTCTTTTGGAATGCAATTCATATGTTAAAACTATTTTCAATGTACTTATAAAATAACCACAACGGCAATGATTGTAGTAATTCTGAATTACTTTATTCTCGTACCAATGAGATACAAATAGAGCACTTGACCTCTGGCAACTCAGCTATTTATATAACACCGGAATGAGGTAATTTATGTCCTCCAGAGACTGACTGTGGAAGTAACTCGTTATCTAATGAAATTTTCCATTTCTATTCTACAAATGTTTTTTTATAGAAATTCATTTGCAATGCAAATCCTATAATTTTTCTCCAGACAAAGCACAATCAGATTTTAAAATGAATAAAATATAACTTTAAAAAATGAATAATTTCATTTCCATCTTGTGAATCATAATGCTTCCAAACAAAAGGGAAATATAACAATTCCAATAAAATAATGGTTTCGTTACACTGAGAAATGAAATTTCAGTAGTTAATGGTACAGACAATAACCAGTGTCCTGATCGGTTGCTTAAGTGCAGATAAGAAAAGCAGGTGATTCGTTTCAATATTCCAACTTGCTGCTAGCCGGATAAAACCCCGTGGCAAACCGGATATGACCTACAGGTCGTAGTTTAAAGATATCTGCTGTAAAATAATACCTTGTCATCCTATCACTGCTCTGTATTGAACTCTCTTAATCCACACCCTCTCTATGTAACTTTATCTTTCTAGCATTTTAAATATGGATGTTTTTAAAGAGTTATCCATTCCTTTGTCGACTCCATTCTCTCTCACTCTGTTATATTTCATTTTCTTTTATTTAAAACAAGTGAACCCATGCCGTCCAAACTGACGGCAATCGTTAGAAAGTTTTAATAGCGAGATGCAATGAAACAAAAGTCTTGAAACAATGTATTGAGATTCAATAAAACAAAGATAAAGCATCCACAGCTAAAATAGAGGCCAATGAATCATTTAATTAATCCGTTTCCTTTATATTTTTTTAGATATTCATTGGCATCTACGATACATTGATTATTCCTGGTATTATAATATTGCTTTTCATGTTAAAATGTTTAATATAACAGTGAAATGGAAATATTTCTCGGAAAAGATTAGCAACAGAACGACAAAGGCGACACCAACAAAGCCTATTTGAAAAGCAAGTTGAAGCAAGACGTTCACTTAATTGACAAATGTATCTGAGCGCCTCACATGAAAGGCTTGAACAAATATGACTGCAATCTAAGAAATGCAGGAGTAAAATTACTTTTTAATTAAGCGGGAACTAACTTTGTCTAGATGCAAATAAATAATTTCTTTGTCTAGATTAAGGCAACTAAGGGAAGTAATCACTAATAAAAAAATTTCTTAACTTGATTTACCTCCCTTTGCACTACAGATGAGACAGGAAATATATAAATAATTGCACATTGAGGATTATAATATGATGGTTTCTCTTCAACTGTCCTGACCATTGTTTCACTGTTGTGTCTCAAATGACGATAATTATTAGAAAGTTTTAATAGTGAGGTGCAATGAACCCAAAATCTTGAAACAATGTATTAAGGTTCAGTTAAGATTAGCAACGGAACAACAATGTTAAAGTGTTTGTGCTTAATATAACAGTTAAAAGAAAAATATTCGCAACAGAACGACAAAGATGGCGTCGACAAAGCCTATTTGAAAACTAAGACGATCACAATAGACAAAGTATCTGAGCGCTACACATGAAAGGCTTGAACAAATAAGACTGAAATCTAAGAAAAGTAGGATAAAGGAACTCATTAATTAAAAGATTCATTTGACTAGGGAACTAATTTTTCCAAAATGCAGATAAATATTTTCAAAACAACTAAAGAAATTAATTACTCAGAAATTAAGTAACTTACGTTTATTTACCTCTCTTCAACCTACAGATGAGACAGGAACTATATGAATAAGTGCACATTGATAATTATTATATGAGAATTTATACTCTGAATTTTTTTGCAGACAAATCTGATTTTTTCCTCCAAACCTGCCCTGACCAAAGTTTCACTGTTGTGTCACGCCTCTTGACTTATAGAAACCACTCACTGGTTAGTAAATTTATTAGTGATTACTTCCCTTAGTTACTTTAATAATATAGCCAAAGAAAATGTATATCTATATTTAGACAAAATTAGTTCCCGCTTAATTAAAACGTTCTTTTACTCCTACATATTTTAGATTGCAGTCTTATTTGTTCAAGCCTTTCATGTGAGGAGTTCAGATACCCTTGTCTATTGTGATCGTCCTGCTTCAACTTGGTTTTCAAATAGGCTTTGTTGTCGCAGTATTTCTCGTTCTTTTGCTAATCCTTTTCTTTTAAGATATATTTCCATTTCCCTGAAGACTGTGCGCATCCACGAATTGAAATCCGGATCTGAGGCAAACGTCATATCAACTGAGGTGGAACTCATTCGATTTTCCCTTAGCCCCCACGACTGTGCCCCTCACGAACCACCACAGAATATGTGATCGAGCGCTATATCGAGTCTAATTCGTTTACCTCTTCGTCACCAAGGCCCGTTGGTACAGTTCGTATGGCGTTTGCCTCCTGTCGTAACTGTTCGGGTTTTAATTCTCGGCAGTGGATGCGCACTGCTAGTGAGTCCCAAATATACCTTACTGCATTCTGTTGAGGTTCTAGACTCGATTAACTACTTATATATATATATATATATATATATATATATATATATATATATATATATATATATATATATATATTTTTAGAATGCACTCAATATACCTAAATCCAAATAAAGATTTTCAGTGAAAAGCAAGGTTTACGTTTATAATGTCACTAAGTCCTTAATTTTCCTGCTTATGTACTTCAAACCGAATCCTATCAAACAGCCGGACCATTTTTAGTAGAGTCATATCACTTTCAAAGAAAAGAGAAAAAATTGAAAGGAGGAAAAAAAAAAAACATGTTGCTCTCCGTCAGTGAATCAGCAGCGTTCTATCTTCTGACCCAACTAACATTTATCTTGCATTTTTATAGCCGTATTTCTCGTCTAAACATTTTAGCTGTTAGCATGATTTTTTCCCGTTACGATGAGAATGAATATTAAATGTTATTTTACTCTTGGTCTGTAGAAAAGATAAAGTCACTACTGAAAATGCTGAGAGGTTGCAAAGACTTTTCTAAATCGACCCACTGTCTAAGAACAGTTAAATGCAATTTTCTTTCTAAATTTCAAATTTGGCTCAATTCCTGTGATTAGGGAAGGTGGAATTTCCACTTCCAAAGACAGAATACATCGAAATTTCTTTAGATGAGGCATTGTTATTTTCATTCATTTTTCTTTCGTTATCCTATTTCTGTTTCTTTTCATGTTTATTCTCAGATTCTTTGAATGTAAAGTAAGCAGTATAACAGGAATGGCCATACCGTGGCTCGCGAGCCACATGCAACACTTTGATCTTTAATAAGCGGATGGTAGAAATATGTTGGCTGAGTTTCTAACTTAGGAAAATTCGGTAATGGAAGATTCGGTAAGTTTGACAAGGTAAGAAAATTCGGTAATTATAAAACAAAAGTTGATTGAAAATAGATTTTAGGGCCGTTCTGGGGTGGAGATTTGGGGGCTACCCCGCTCCCCTATATTTTTAAATATGGAAATCGTGGGGTCCAGATAAAACCCCACTGCAACAATACCAAGGCCGTACTTACAGAAGGGAAGCTTAAGGGTTAGACCTCCTTCCCCAATATTTTTTTTAAAGTATTATTAACTAGGGGTGGGGATTTTAGATAAAACTATTAAAACAATACCAGTACTGTACTTTCTGGAGGTCTCTCCTCCACTTATGTTTAAATAAGTATTAAGTAAAAAAAATCATCGGTTCCAGTTCTCGTTCTGGATGTGGGTTTTACGAGGTTAAAAAAAAATACGAATATATAGCATGAACGATCCATCATCCTGTGATGAACACGATCCAATATATTCCTTGGTAGTGGCAGTTTGCAGGACGTCCAGACCTTGGGTAATCGTTTTCCTCCCGCGAAAAAGGTCTTTAAAAATTAGAACCTTTAAAGAGTGTTAGGAGAGGGCGTTTAATGCCTCCAAATTAAAACTGATTTCTATAAATGTAACCCGGCGGTGGAGTATTGGATAGCGGCTCGGATTGACGAATCGGAGAGCTGAGTTCGAATTTCAGTCCAATCCATTAAATTCTTGGGAAAGGTATCAATCCTCTTTATTCCCCCCCCTCCCACCCCCAGCTTGGGTGGCAACTGGTCTACCGCAGAAAGAAATGGCAACCTAGTGCTGGAAAAAACCTGCCTCGTGAGTCATGTATCGAAAGCTACATGATCGCCTAAGTGTGTATAACGCATGGCACATAACTGACTGAACCCCTTTCTACCTTCCATCTTCATGGCCGATGCTAACCTCCAGAAGAGTGACTCGTTGCACCTTCACTGGCTAACGTTCTCTACTGTCACGATGTGGAAAGATTATACTAGATTTGCTAGTACGTCTGTTGGTTCACTGTGCTTTGCTAAACAATCTTTCTTCCCAGAATTTATCTTACATATTTATAAGTCTACTATTCGTCCACACTTTGAATATTTCTGGTTTTCCTGCCATATATTTAGAGATCATTAATAAAATCCAATGAAGAATCTGCAATGTTATTAGTCCTGTTATCACCTGTCATCACTGTTTCAATCATTTTCTGATGTAGCTTCCCCGTGCCGTAATATAGCTACACCGTGCCGTAATGCAGCTTCCCCGTGACGTAATGTAGCTACCCCGTGCCGTAAAGCAGCTACCCCGTGCCGTAATGTAGCTACCCCGTGCCGTATAGCTACCCCGTGCCGTAATGCAGATTCCCCGTGCCGTGGTGCAGCTTCCCGTGCCGTAATGCAGCTTCCCCGTGCCGTAATGTAGCTTCCCCGTGTCGTAATGTAGCTTCCCCGTGCCGTAATGTAGCTACCCCGTGCCGTTATGTAGCTTTCCCGTGCCGTAATGCAGCTTCCCCGTGCCTCTTCTATAAATACATTCATGGTAACTGTTCTTATGAGCTTTCACCTATTGTACTTTTTAAAATTGTTATTTTTATTCCCCGCCCTCCACAGACAAATCTCTATCTATAAAAGGCAGGATGTGTGTGTTTGTGTGTGTAACGAATGCACGGCCGCAATTTTCGACGGATTTGCACCAACATTTACATGCACATGCTCCAAGTTAGCGGGAAGGCCAAAACCGTTTTTGCATTTCCAAACTCCCATCGATAGTGGAAATAATCAATTTTTCATGCTTCTACAGCAGTTTTCATATAGTTTGAGGCCATTTTGTACTGGTCAGAGTGAGAGCCTATAGCTGGCTGCCACGAATAGGCAGGAACATTCTACTGGCCAGCGTGAGAGCCAACAGCTGACTGACACGAATGTTAACTAGCATGCTAGCATGCAAAAAAAATCAATAGCTGCATTCGTCACAAGTGGGAAAATTTAAATCTGCATGGCACTTTTACTCCAATTGGCTCCTTCGCTTGCTTAAACTCAATGTTGATTCTGATTCCACAGAACTGGGTTGGGTGTGAAAAAGTATTTGTTGTTAACATTCTTTTTTCATTCAGTTTTTTAAGTTACGAGTCCTTTTTTAAAGCTGATCGTTTTGTGTTCATTTTGTTTAGTTCTTTTTCGTAACAGATTTAATGTTTAGTATAGAGCTTAGAAAAAATTCGCAGTGTGAAATAGGCAAGAAGTAAGTCATGTAGCAACATCAGCACGGTAAAGGGCACTCCTTTAAAGGCAAGGAATGGCAAAAATATTTTAAGTCAAGTGATATCGATTGGTGTATGAGTCGTACGATTTTTGAATCAAGCACGTGCAACGCCGAGACATGCTGCTAGTTGCACATATGCCAAATAGTTAGGTCTTCATAGAGACTTGAGGTATTGTGTTGGCTGTAGTAAAAATGACAAGAGTATGATATTTTGGTGTAAGGAATAATATGGCATGTTTGGGTCAGTAATTATGGTTAACTAAGACAGATTGAAGACTAGCTTACCCCTAATCCCCGCTTTTTGGTCTTGTGCAGCATTTTTGTATTAACACAAAATGAATATTACTTTCCTCTTTTCACATATGGGAATTAGTTAGGACTACATAGAGACATGAGGCATTACAGTGACTGTATTGAGAACGGTAAGATAAGAATGTATTGTTTTGATGTAAGGAATACTGTGGTATGTTTAGGTCAGTAATTGTGGCTAGCTAAGTTTAAGATAAGACAGATTGAAGACCAGCCTTCCTCTATCCCTCCTTTTGGCCTTGTGCCACATTTTTGTATTAAAATAAAATAAATATTAATTTCTTGTCTGGTTATTTTATTCCCCACCCCACACAGACAATTTGTACCTATGTGGGCTAGTTAGGACTTCATAGTCTGTAGTCTAGTGGTGGTTCTAGTAAGAATAGTAAGTAAGAATGTAATGTTTTGGTATAAGGAATACTGTGGTCAGTAATAAGTTGAAGATAAGACAGATTGAAAACCAACCTCCCTCTATCACCCCTTTTAGCGTTGTGCCAAATTTTTGTATTCCCAAAATAAATATCGCTTTTCCCTATTGTACTTTATAAATTTTAATGATTTGGTCAACGGCCTGGAAACCAGTGTTCATCATTTATTTCTAAAGGCTCCCATATTCTCCAGCGATGGAATAAACATGTGTAATGATATCTTGAGTGTTTCTTTCTGGTCTTTAATTGCAGAAAATTGAAAATATCGATTAATGACAAGACGAGACTTAACATTACATTATATTTCATTCCGGTACTTCTGCGCGCACGACCGCTGAAGCAAAACGTGAGGCTTACATTCTCATCTGCGATATCTGAGAAACTACCTCACCTAGCACTTGGGTGGGTGTTCATATATCTATCAAGCGATTATTTCCCATGCTCGCAATTCAGGTACAGTTCATCCTGTCACGTGATTCTGTACTGGGCGTCTTGCAGGGTGCCTCAAGTCAACACGGGACTTTGGTTTCTCTAAATGACACATAGGGCAAAATCTATTCCAGTATGATCTAGACACTTTATCATACTCTTCCTCTTCCTTCTCTTATCTTCTTTGTTTGTTTGTTTTTTCTTTCTTTCTTACTTTCTTTCTTTCTTTCTTTCTTTCTTTCTTTCTTTCTTTCTTTCTTTTGTCTTCCCATTTCTCTTCTTTCTCTTCTCGTCGCCTTTCTCTTTCCTTTTCGCTTCTTTTCTCTTCCACTTTCTCTCCTCTTCCCATTTCTCTTCTCTTCTGTTTTCCGTTTTCTTCCCTCCCACTTTCTCTTTTATTCTTCTTTCTATTCTTTTCCTCTTTCTCTTCTCTTGTCCTTTCTCTCCTCCTTTCTCTTCTCTTCCCTTTCTTTCTCTTCTCTTCATTTCTCTTCTTTTCTTTTCCGCTTTCTCTTCTCTTTCCCTTTCCCCTCTCTTCTCTTCCCTTTCTCTTTTCTTCTCTTTCCCTTTCTCTTTTCTTCCTCTTTTTCTTCTCTTCCTATTACTCTTCTCTCCCCCTTTCTCTTCTCTTTTTCTTTCTCTTCTCTTCATTTCTCTTCTTTTCTTTTCCGCTTTCTCTTCTCTTTCCCTTTCCCCTCTCTTCTCTTCCCTTTCTCTTTTCTTCTCTTTCCCTTTCTCTTTTCTTCCTCTTTTTCTTCTCTTCCTATTACTCTTCTCTCCCCCTTTCTTTTCTCTTTTTCTTTCTCTTCTCTTCATTTCTCTTCTTTTCTTTTCCGCTTTCTCTTCTCTTCCCCTTTCTCTTTTCTTCTCTTTCCCTTTCTCTTCTTCTTTTTCTTTTCTTCCTATTACTCTTCTCACCCCCTATCTCTTCTCTTTTTTTCTCTTCTCTCCCCCTTTCTCTTCTCTTTTTCTTTCTCTTCTCTCCCCCTTTCTCTTCTCTTTTTCTTTCTCTTCTCTCCCCCTTTCTCTTCTCTTTTTCTTTCTCTCCCCCTTTCTCTTCTCTTCATTTCTCTTCTTTTCTTTTCCGCTTTCTCTTCTCTTTCCCTTTCCCCTCTCTTCTCTTCCCCTTTCTCTTTTCTTCTCTTTCCCTTTCTCTTCTCTTCTTCTTTTTCTTTTCTTCCTATTACTCTTCTCACCCCCTATCTCTTCTCTTTTTCTTTCTCTTCTCTCCCCCTTTCTCTTCTCTTTTTCTTTCTCTTCTCTCCCCCTTTCTCTTCTCATTCCCTTTCTTTCCCTATTTCTTCTCTTTTCCTCTTTTTTCTCTTAATCAAGACTGCGTTCAATAAGTTTGTTATTCTACTTCTAAAAACGACAATTCTATTGCACTTAAAATATGTGTACATCTTCAAAGACGTTTATTTTGCCCGACGGAACATTAAAGAGAATCTTAGAGGCTAATAAAGAGGCGGGAAAGAAGCAATTTAATGATGGAGATTAGCGAAGTTTTAAAAGCGGCTGTGTACAGCTTTTTTTTTTAATTCATGTTTTTCTTCTTCAAAGGAAACTGACCTTAGCACTCTTGCAATAAATTCAAATTTTATCTGACAGGAATACACATTTAATTTTTCTTATTGCATCTGTTTTCCCACACCTCCCTTCACACACACACAAACACACATATGTATATGAGAGTGAGAGGTTGGGAAGAGATTAATGTGCATTCATGTCTATATTAATATAGATACTTTACCACTTTATCACATACGTTTTATTAAATTCAAATGATAAGGTCATTTTTTTTTTAAAGATTTTTTATATTTTTCAAAATTTTTGCACATCTGGATCAGATTTGTGAAGAAACTGCACACAACCCATGCTTTGTTCTCATGTTTTCTACCATCGCGCTCATCATCAAGAATATTATATATATATATATATATATATATATATATATATATATATATAATATATATATAAAACGCGTTCTATCGGAGGGCTCATGATTGAGCTTCAGCTTGTTCAGGAGTTTGAGAGTCCCTACGTCTTTGCATATTCTCAGCATTGGAAGTTCTTTTGACTGCCCTTTGATCTGGGTTTTCATTTGCAGAGGACTTTCTTTTCCTCGTTGCACCTTTGGCTCTTTTAATTGCAATCTGGTCCTCTGTTGTCAGAGATTTCTTTTTCCGAGACATATTGCTGCCGCATGCGATAGACAACAATAAATTACAAAAGAACTAAAAATTGATCGCTGCATTTAAGTATTGCATTCATATTTAAGCTTACCTTTTAAAAGTTCGACGATAATTCTTCTGCTGCCACTTAATTTAAAGACAATTTTTTTTTACGTCGGTCCTTACTTTCAGTACAATTATTTTTATTTCATGGGTGACTTTCGCAGGATTTCGCGATTACTTAAGAATTGTTATCGTACAAAAAGTTCGTCGCAAAAAATCACGTTAAAAAATTGCCGAAAACAATCGCAGTAATGAAAACTTGAGAATCCAAAATATCTGTAACATGAGCTATTGAAAGTTAGAGAGTTGTGTCCCTTTAATTGAAAACAGTGTGACACAGTCCTGGACTGACATATTTGACACAATTATATATATATATATATATATATATATATATATATATATATATATATATATAGATAGATAATATTAGTGGAAAATATACATACATATGCAAAATATATATAAAAAATCCCATACATGTATATTTTCAGAAAAAAAAAAAAATTTCAAGAGGAAGGATCCAGGTAGAACTCAATGTCTAGGACAGAGTAAGGATATAATAAAAAGGCTTAAACACTAATATTCCATGGTCATAATTTATTCCATTGGAATCGTAAATACGATCCAAATCATCAGACCTACAAATTCAAAATGAAAACAAAAAAAAACAACTCCGGAAATCAAAACAGAATTTAGAAAAGTGTAAGTATGAGGAGGAGGGACATGAAACCTTAACAGAGAAAATTTTAGGAGATGTGGGTGGGGGGGGCGAATTTAAAAAGAGGAGAGAAAGAAAGTCGACGGATGTCTAATGCATAAAGATACATTTCACATAATGCGTGTATGTATGGGTATATGTATATATATATATATATATATATATATATATATATATATATATATATATGTATATATGTGTATGTATATGCATGTGTATATGTATGTGTATGTGTATGTATAAGTATGTATGTATGTATGAATATATGCATGGGGGCATATGTATGCGTGTATATGTATGTGAAAAGTGTGTGTATATGAATATAGATGAATATGTGTATGTGTGGATATGTGAATATATTTTTAGGTCTTTTATATATATATATATATATATATATATATATATATATATATATATATGTGTGTGTATGTACACGTATGTCTGGGTGTGTGTGTGTGAGTACATGCCTAAGTGTATGTACATACTTGTATATGTTTTTGTGTGTATTAGTATGTGTTTTTGAACATAGAAATATTTGGTCCTTGCTAAATTAGACAATCGTTATATTCATCTTCATATATTTATATTTGATTTCTAACCTGTAGTCGATACTAATTTTCTCAATTACAAAGCTGCCCTTTAAGTAAACAATTTTATTTTCCTTCGTCCCATCCCTCTCCCCCACCTCTTCTCTTCTTTTTTTTTTTTTTTTTCCTCCTATCCTAATTGTCTATGGTGTGTATATGTCACCACGAAGTGTATCTTTATGCATTAGACATCCGTCGACTTTCTTTCTCTCCTCTTTTTAAATCCCCCCCCACATCTCCTAAAATTCTCTCTGTTAAGGTTTCATGTCCCTCCTCCTCATACTTACACTTTCTCTAAATTCTGTTTTGATTTCCGGAGTTTTTTTTTTCTGTTTTCATTTTGAATTTGTTGGTCTGATGATTTGGATCGTATTTACGATTCCAATGGAATAAATTATGACCATGGAATATTAGTGTTTAAGCCTTTTTATTATATATATATATATATATATATATATATATATATATATATATATATATATATATATATATTCGAAATAAAAGTATAAAACTTAATATTACGAGACATATTAAAAGAACTTCCTTTTATTGTGCATTTTTCTGTGTTTAATTTTAAATTAAATCTCCCGTTGAAACCCGAAGAGCGGGAGCGAAACCGGTTGCTTCACCCGTTTTTAATATGTCTCGCAATATTCAGTTTTATACTTTTATTTCGATCATTAAATTTTGTACCTACAAAAATATCTTTGAATATATATATATTAATCGGTATCACCCTAAGCAACTCTGTACAGCCACTAATATGCAAGGGGTTACAGGGTGTGGAAGAATTAGAAATAGAAACATTAATAATGAGGAGAAAGAGAAAAGAGTAATCAGGAAGACAGTAAATAGCGGTTGACATTGCATTTATATTTCTGTTAGCTAGAAAGTGCCAGCGAGAAGTGCGAGATAAGAAAATGTTAGCATAGAAGTTATGGTTACATCTAGTTTGCTCAATTGTAACTAAATGACCTCTCGCCACCAGTCCAATATTACGCTTAAGAAGTCATAGCGAAGAGCGATATTTATTTGCAATATTTACAAAATGTGACACAAGGCGAAAATGGGGAATATGGGAAAAAGGACGGTCTTGTTCTGTCTTAACATTAAATTTAGCTCGCCACAAACACTGACCCACACATACCAAAAATATTCCTAACACCAAAACAACGCATTCTTACTTACCTTTCTTACTACATCCACGATAATTGTCTCTATGAATATCCTAACTAGTCTCCATTTGTACAATTCATTGTCTGGTGGGGGGATAAAACAACAACTTGAAAACTAGCTCCAATTCATAGCGAAGAGCTTCCCCGAACAATTAGCATGAAAGTATTTATAAAAGACGAGAGAGAGAGAGAGAACCTTAGAGTAGTGGGCAAGTGACTGAAGTCGATTAGGACCTATAATATTGTTGATTCTTCTTTGGACGTTATCTAGGAATTCCAGGCAAATAGCAGCAACATTCTAGGCATTCTAGGCATTATCTCCCCTGAAACAGTGAACCTACTTTCTTAACAGCTGATGTAGCGATGGATTCGATGTCGTCTTTCCCCATCATGTCAGCTGAAATCGTTAGCTCGAGATGGTACGATGAGTCACTTTCTTGGAGGATAGCATCAACCATGCTAATGGACGACAAAGAAGGGTCGCTCAGATGATTACGGAAGAGAAGTTTAGTTTTGAGGACGTTAAAATTGACAAGCCATTTTTGCCCCAGTTAACGACAGTCGTTTTGTACATCAGATGCCATTTTGATTTTGTCGGCCTTACTATCGAGGCAGGAGTAAATGGTAGTGTTGTCAGCGTAAATGTCAAGTTGAGAGTTGATGTCATCGGGAAGGTCGTTAATGAAGATTAAAAACAGCGGAAGACCAAGGATAGGGCCCTGGGGGACACCCGCGTTAGTACGAAAGGATGTAGACGAGTGGCTGTTCAGAGTGGACACGATTTGATAGGTTTTGATGGATCAGTTCAAAAACGTGCCCGGTGATACTGTAGCTTTTCAGATCTGAATGCCAGACCCCCTCAAAGGCTTTCGAGATGTCCAATGTTACAGCCCGGGCTACACCATTTTTATCTAGAACATGATAAACTCTTTCCGGAATTATTGTTAGTGCATCAGCAGTTGATCTCTAGAAACAAAAGCCTTATAGCTTACTTGAGAAAAGGTCCTGCAATGAGAGATAATGAACCAATTCAGCATTGATTAGGACCTTTAGGAGTTTCCCAAAATGGGACCAAAGTCTAACACGCCGATAGTTGTATGGGTCAGATGGCTCACTAGAGTTCTTAAAATTGGAACAACAGACGATGACTTCCAGCAAGCAGGAAATCGAGGGACAGCGTGGCATCTTATTTATTATAAAACGCAGATTGTGTGTGTGTGTGTGTGTGTGTGTGTCTGTGCGTTTATATATTGGATCGGATTTCCTACATTTTTCAACCAATTTCAACAAAACTTCACAGGACTACGTAAAATTACCTTGCGGTGGTTCTGACAGCGACAAAAATTGGAAAAACACAATTGTTTTTGCACGAAATCAATTTGAAAACAGGATAAAACACGATTCTGTCGCCAGAATGAAAGGGGGACAACTCATATCGAGTTATACTTATTATAAAACCCAGGCTGTTTGTGTGTGTGTGTGTTCGTTTATATATGGGATCGGATTTCCTACATTTTTCAACCGATTTCAACAAAACTTCGCTTTTTTTTTGTCAGGTAGTGTTTCTTATTGTCTTGCACACTTTTTTTCTTTATTTTTACATTCAGAATGCTTTAAAAATTCCATTTA